GGAAATAAGCGATTTTGAACAAACGAAAATTTCCGTTTTTATTTGTATAGATGGCGTCCCTGTAGCTGCCCGCCATTTATTAAAGACAGATAAGCAGATCTTCTGTTATGACTACATATCATCTGTGGATAAATTGAACGAACCTACTCTTCCTCCTCCCCAAGCATTCTATAATAATTTGAAGCATGAGGCTGTGAGTCAAAAAGATTATAACCTGGCTTAAGAAGTCTTTCGATTGGCAGAATGCAAATCCACTGGAGATTACTTGAAGGTCTATTTGAAAGTGAATACTGGACTTTCGTGTGATATTTTCACTGTATGGCATAAAACAATGTCGGAGCTATACAAGATGGACATTACTCATTATGTTTCGCTATCGAGTTTCGCATTGGATGCCTTCTTGTTAAAAGGTCAAGTTAACTTGGACTCTGATCCCCAATTGTATGATATATTGTGCAGAAATTTAAGAGGCGGATTTACTTCGGTGGTCAGACAACACAGGAGTGTAGAAAATGTACGTACAGGTGCTGTCCCCTCTTGCAACGATAAATATATTTTGGATTTGGATTTCAATAATCTATACGCCACTTGCATGTCAGAAATGCTTCCCCAAGGTGGTAATAGAAAACTATCTGCTGTTGCTCGAGCACAGATTGGAGAATATTGCTTGTGATGGGGGAAAAGGGTTATTAAGTCATGTGTGATACTAAGCATATCAAGCCTGAGGTGGCCCGATACACTGATGATTTGCCCTTAACCCTTTCACATGCTAATATAACTACTGATCTGTTGGTTGATTACAGCAAACACATTTTAAATACTGAAGATAGGAAACTTCCCCCCCCCAAAAAAAAAAAAAAATAATAAATTGATTGCATCCCATCTCCCCAAAAAAGATTACTTGTTGAATTTAGATTTGTTACAGATGCTAATGAAACTAGGATTGGAAGTTTCTAAAATAAATATAATTTATGAATTCAATCAAAGCAGGTACCTCAAAGAATTAGTCGAAACGAATATCCGAAAATGTACAAATACACCACGTGTCAGAAAGTCTAAAGCTGTCAAGCTCGTCAGCAACGCCATCTACGGCAAGAGTCTAACTGATGTGAGTAAATATGGTGATAAGCGCTATTTAGTTACGTCTTGAGATGAGTCTCGAAGACATGCATGTATCCCTTTTTCCAATGGTTACATTTTACTGAGCGAAGACAAGATTCATTTACACTGTCAAGAAAGAATCCCTAAAAGTTAATACACCAACATACATAGGGTTCCATATCCTGCAAATAGCTAAAAGGATCCTGTATGATTTTTTGGGATAATACAGCCAAAGCTCATTATTGTGACAAAGCTAGATTGTTGTATATGGATACGGATTCTTATCTAATAGAATTGACCTGTCCCAATGCTTTTGAAGAATTGAATAAACTGCCTTTATGCCAGCATATATATTTCAGTAATTTCCATCCCGATAACCCCTATCTTGATGAATCATGTAGAGGTCAACTGGCTTTGCTGAAATCAGAAGTTGGAGCTAAAATCATCAAGGAACTGATTGCACTAAAACATAAAATGAGTGTATAGTGTGGGTGCTGAGTGTATGGTGTGGGTGCTGAGGGTATGGTGTGGGTGCTGAGTGTATGGTGTGGGTGCTGAGTGTATAGTGTGGGTGCTGAGTGTATGGTGTGGGTGTTGAGTGTATGGTGTGGGTGCTGAGTGTATGGTGTGGGTGCTGAGTGTATGTGTGGGTGGGTGCTGAGTGTATGGTGTGGGTGTTGAGTGTATGGTGTGGGTGCTGAGTGTATGGTGTGGGTGTTGAGTGTATGGTGTGGGTGCTGAGTGTATGGTGTGGGTGTTGAGTGTATGGTGTGGGTGTTGAGTGTATAGTGTGGGTGTTGAGTGTATGGTGTGGGTGTTGAGTGTATGGTGTGGGTGTTGAGTGTATGGTGTGGGTGTTGAGTGTATGGTGTGGGTGTTGAGTGTATGGTGTGGGTGCTGAGTGTATGGTGTGGGTGCTGAGTGTATGGTGTGGGTGTTGAGTGTATGGTGTGGGTGTTGAGTGTATAGTGTGGGTGTTGAGTGTATGGTGTGGGTGCTGAGTGTATGGTGTGGGTGCTGAGTGTATGGTGTGGGTGTTGAGTGTATAGTGTGGGTGCTGAGTGTATAGTGTGGGTGCTGAGTGTATGGTGTGGGTGCTGAGTGTATGGTGTGGGTGCTGAGTGTATAGTGTGGGTGCTGAGTGTATGGTGTGGGTGCTGAGTGTATGGTGTGGGTGCTGAGTGTATAGTGTGGGTGCTGAGTGTATAGTGTGGGTGCTGAGTGTATAGTGTGGGTGCTGAGTGTATGGTGTGGGTGCTGAGTGTATAGTGTGGGTGCTGAGTGTATGGTGTGGGTGCTGAGTGTATGGTGTGGGTGCTGAGTGTATGGTGTGGGTGCTGAGTGTATGGTGTGGGTGCTGAGTGTATGGTGTGGGTGTTGAGTGTATGGTGTGGGTGCTGAGTGTATGGTGTGGGTGCTGAGTGTATGGTGTGGGTGCTGAGTGTATGGTGTGGGTGCTGAGTGTATGGTGTGGGTGCTGAGTGTATGGTGTGGGTGTTGAGTGTATAGTGTGGGTGCTGAGTGTATGGTGTGGGTGCTGAGTGTATGGTGTGGGTGCTGAGTGTATGGTGTGGGTGGGTTGAGTGTATGGTGTGGGTGCTGAGTGTATGGTGTGGGTGCTGAGTGTATGGTGTGGGTGCTGAGTGTATGGTGTGGGTGCTGAGTGTATAGTGTGGGTGCTGAGTGTATGGTGTGGGTGTTGAGTGTATGGTGTGGGTGCTGAGTGTATGGTGTGGGTGTTGAGTGTATGGTGTGGGTGCTGAGTGTATGGTGTGGGTGCTGAGTGTATGGTGTGGGTGCTGAGTGTATGGTGTGGGGGCAGAGTGTATAGTGTGGGGGCAGAGTGTATGGTGTGGGTGCTGAGTGTATGGTGTGGGTGCTGAGTGTATGGTGTGGGTGCTGAGTGTATGGTGTGGGTTCTGAGTGTATGGTGTGGGTGCTGAGTGTATAGTGTGGGGGCAGAGTGTATGGTGTGGGTGCTGAGTGTATGGTGTGGGTTCTGAGTGTATAGTGTGGGGGCAGAGTGTATGGTGTGGGTGCTGAGTGTATGGTGTGGGTGCTGAGTGTATGGTGTGGGTGCTGAGTGTATGGTGTGGGGGCAGAGTGTATGGTGTGGGTGTTGAGTGTATGGTGTGGGTGTTGAGTGTATAGTGTGGGTGTTGAGTGTATAGTGTGGGTGTTGAGTGTATGGTGTGGGTGCTGAGTGTATGGTGTGGGTGCTGAGTGTATAGTGTGGGTGCTGAGTGTATGGTGTGGGTGCTGAGTGTATGGTGTGGGTGCTGAGTGTATGGTGTGGGTGCTGAGTGTATGGTGTGGGTTCTGAGTGTATGGTGTGGGTGCTGAGTGTATAGTGTGGGGGCAGAGTGTATGGTGTGGGTGCTGAGTGTATGGTGTGGGTTCTGAGTGTATAGTGTGGGGGCAGAGTGTATGGTGTGGGTGCTGAGTGTATGGTGTGGGTGCTGAGTGTATGGTGTGGGTGCTGAGTGTATGGTGTGGGTGCTGAGTGTATGGTGTGGGGGCAGAGTGTATGGTGTGGGTGTTGAGTGTATGGTGTGGTGTGGGTGTTTGAGTGTATAGTGTGGGTGTTGAGTGTATAGTGTGGGTGTTGAGTGTATGGTGTGGGTGCTGAGTGTATGGTGTGGGTGTTGAGTGTATAGTGTGGGTGCTGAGTGTATGGTGTGGGTGTTGAGTGTATGGTGTGGGTGTTGAGTGTATGGTGTGGGTGTTGAGTGTATGGTGTGGGTGTTGAGTGTATGGTGTGGGTGTTGAGTGTATGGTGTGGGTGTTGAGTGTATAGTGTGGGTGCTGAGTGTATGGTGTGGGTGTTGAGTGTATGGTGTGGGTGTTGAGTGTATGGTGTGGGTGTTGAGTGTATGGTGTGGGTGTTGAGTGTATGGTGTGGGTGTTGAGTGGTGTGGTGTGTGAGTGTAGTGTATGTGTGGGTGTGAGTGTATGGTGTGGGTGTTGAGTGTATGGTGTGTTGAGTGGTGTTGAGTGAGTGGTGTGAGTGGTGTGTGAGTGTATGGTGTGGGTGTTGAGTGTATGGTGTGGGTGTTGAGTGTATGGTGTGGGTGTTGAGTGTATGGTGTGGGTGTTGAGTGTATGGTGTGGGTGTTGAGTGTATGGTGTGGGTGTTTGAGTGTATGTATGGTGTGGGTGTTGAGTGTATGGTGTATGGTGGGTTGTTGAGTGTGAGTGGTGTATGTGGGTGTTGAGTGTATGGTGTGGGTGTTGAGTGTATGGTGTGGGTGTTGAGTGTATGGTGTGGGTGTTGAGTGTATGGTGGGTGTTGAGTGGTGTTGAGTGCATGTGTATGGTGGGGTGTGGGTGTTGAGTGTATGGTGTGGGTGCTGAGTGTATGGTGTGGGTGTTGAGTGTATGGTGTGGGTGTTGAGTGTATGGTGTGGGTGCTGAGTGTATAGTGTGGGTGCTGAGTGTATGGTGTGGGTGCTGAGTGTATAGTGTGGGTGCTGAGTGTATGGTGTGGGTGCTGAGTGTATGGTGTGGGTGTTGAGTGTATGGTGTGGGTGCTGAGTGTATGGTGTGGGTGCTGAGTGTATGGTGTGGGTGCTGAGTGTATGGTGTGGGTGCTGAGTGTATGGTGTGGGTGCTGAGTGTATGGTGTGGGTGCTGAGTGTATGGTGGGGGGTGCTGAGTGTATGGTGTGGGTGCTGAGTGTATGGTGTGGGTGTTGAGTGTATAGTGTGGGTGCTGAGTGTATGGTGTGGGTGTTGAGTGTATAGTGTGGGTGCTGAGTGTATAGTGTGGGTGCTAAGGGTATGGTGTGGGTGCCGAGGATATAGTGGTTGTGTGGAGCGTATGGTGTGGAGAACGGGTCTACCTGGCGCCTGCCCATCGTGCCCACTTGATCATATCTCCACTATCTACCGCCAGCCAAGGTGTGCCGAGGCCAGTGTTGCTCTGACACGAGGCCCGCGGCGTCCCCAGCCTCCCGTCACCCACCACAACCTGCTCAGTTCTCGTCCCCACCTCACTCACACCACTCCATATAAAAAGTATTCAATATAAAGTTATATACTTGATAGAACGTTTGAAAATTAAATTGTGAGTATCAGGGAGTGACGGTAGTGGCTGTGCGAGCACCAGGCCCGGGCAGTAGAGAGGATTAGAGAGAGTCGCAGGGAGTTGTTACTAGAGCGACGCGCACATCACCACCGCCTCCTCCAGGTCAGTCTCTTATGTCTATATTATATAGAGATGAGGACGAGTGTACAAGCACAGGGTAACACTCAAGGTGTGTGACGACACTGTCTCTGAGCCAACATTGCTGGGACATGTTGTGACTCGCACACTTGGTTGATCACCACACTCCAGCACCACCCCCACCACACTCCAGCACCACCACCACCACCACACTCCAGCACCACCACCACCACACTCCAGCACCACCACCACCACCACACTCCAGCACCACCACCACCACACTCCAGCACCACCAGCACCACACTCCAGCACCACCACCACACTCCAGCACCACCACCATACTCCAGCACCACCACCACCACACTCCAGCACCACCACCACCACACTCCAGCACCACCCCCATCACACTCCAGCACCACCACCATACTCCAGCACCACCACCACCACCACACTCCAGCACCACCACCACCACACTCCAGCACCACCACCACCACACTCCAGCACCACCCCCATCACACTCCAGCACCACCCCCACCACACTCCAGCACCACCACCACACTCCAGCACCACCACCACCACACTTCAGCACCACCACCACCACACTCCAGCACCACCCCCACCATACTCCAGCACCACCACCACCACACTCCAGCAGCACCACCACCACACTCCAGCACCACCACCATACTCCAGCACCACCACCACCACACTCCAGCACCACCACCACCACACTCCAGTGGTAACATTGCCAGAAAAATCCCACAGGCCCAGTCACATGTTACTACATATCTCACCGCCAGCTTAAACTCTCTACCCCTTTCACCAGTCAGCCCGACAGATGTTAAGTCAATCATTCACTCACTAAATCCCAAAGTTAGGAACATTAGTGAAATATCATGTATGGTATACAAGAGTGCCTCCCATGCCCTTGCGTCACCCATAGGTCCGTTATTCAACAATTCTCTAGGGTGCCATACCTTCCCTGATATACTGAAAAAATCACGAATAACTCCAGTTTATGAAGGAGTCACTCCGGCAGACATAAACAATTACAGACTAATATCAAATCTACCTGTATTATCAAAAATATTTGAAAAAAATATTTACAAATAGCTCTGCTCCTACCTCGTTAAATTCAACATAATTAGTTTGGCTTCTGCTCCCAAAAAGAGTAGCAACGATGCAATTATTAGTCTGCTTTATATAATCTACTCAGCCCTCGACAGAAATGATTTCCCAATTGACCTCTTCGATGAGCTGAGCCTTCGATACTCTTAACCTTAACTACCTCTTACTTAAACTTCACCACTATGGAATCCGAGGCCTTACCCTGAACTATTTTCGATCCTATCTTAGGAACAGACACCAATATGTAGCCATCAATGATATAACCTCTCCCACTCTAACATTAACCGTAGGAGTCCCACAGGGCAGCATCCTATGACCTCTCGTATATACATCAATGAACTGCCTAATGTCTCTAATATTCTTAAACCTATACTATTTGCTGACGAAACTATATTCTGACCCTTATCTACTCAGACTCCATCCCAAACACACAAAATAATGTTGTAAATAACGAATTAAAAAAAAGGCTACTTATGGATGTCAACCAACAAAATCACACTAAACTTAAAAAAAGACCTACAACATATTATTTGGAAGCAAATCAACAAATGCAATTCAGCTTCAGATAGACAATGTTAACACCAACAATAAAAATGATGGAAAGTTCCTTGGCCTATACATAGACAAGAGGCTCAACTTCAGCACCCACATACAACACATAACCAAAGAATTCTTTAATGCGGTCGGTATACTTTCTAAAAGCAGATATTATGTTTCAAACTCTGTTCTCTTCTTATTATACAAGCGCTAATCGATCCCTATCTTACATACGGTATCTGTGCACGGGGCTCAACTACTGCAAACTACCTCAAGTCCATCATCACCAAGCAAACATCTGCTATCATAACAATAACAATCGCTGGTATCACACAACACACAGCCCCTCTGTTTAAATCCCTAAACAGTCTACAAATAAATTCACTCCACACATTCTTTTATGCCATTTACATGTACAAAACCTTGTTCTTAAGTGCAAATCTGATCCTGAAACTCTTCTTTGACAGATGTAATTGAACCCATAATCACCACACCATAAATAAATATATCTTTGATATCCTCAGAGTAAACTAAATATGTATAAACACTATGCAAATGAAGGTACGTAATCTTGTTAACTCAGTCCCTAACGAATTAAAAAGCTGTCAAACCAATGCCTTATTCAAAAGTACCTAATTACATCACATAGTTTCCAACCTAGTACGCAAGAAACTCACATTGTATCTTGTGCTACCCATTCCTCCAATATACGTGGCCTAAGCCATACAACTTCACCATTGTAATCACTGCTCTCATCTTATATCATGATTGTTATGTTGAACGCAAATTTTACTGCAATGTACCCGGACATAATCCTCAAATTATGCTACAGTGTACCAGTTGATGATCCTCAAATTTTACTATGAGGTACCTATTAAATTTCTGAAAATTTCCTTACAATGTACTTGTTAACGTTCTTCATTTTTTTATACAAATTAACTACATAAAATTATCCGTTAGATTCAGAACCTGCCCGAAATGCTATGCATGTTAGTTGCTTTACAAGAATGTAAAAACATCAATGCTATATGTACTCTCATGAACCCAACGTACCTTCATGTATATATATATAAATTAATTAAATAAATAAATAAATAAATAAATAAATAAATAAATAAATAGAGCACCACCACACTCCAGCACCACCACCACCACACTCCAGCACCACCACCACACTCCAGCACCACCACCACCACACTCCAGCACCACCACCACCCACACTCCAGCACCACCACCACACTCCAGCACCACCACCACCACACTCCAGCACCACCACCACCACACTCCAGCACCACCACCACCACACTCCAGCACCACCACCACACTCCAGCACCACCACCACCACACTCCAGCACCACCACCACACTCCAGCACCACCACCACCACACTCCAGCACCACCACCACCACACTCCAGCACCACCACCACACTCCAGCACCACCACCACACTCCACACCACCACCACACTCCAGCACCACCACCACACTCCAGCACCACCACCACCACACTCCAGCACCACCACCACCACACTCCAGCACCACCACCACCACACTCCAGCACCACCACCACCACACTCCAGCACCACCACCACCACACTCCAGCACCACCACCACACTCCAGCACCACCACCACCACACTCCAGCACCACCACCACCACACTCCAGCACCACCACCACCACACTCCAGCACCACCACCACACTCCAGCACCACCACCACACTCCAGCACCACCACCACACTCCAGCACCACCACCACCACACTCCAGCACCACCACCACCACACTCCAGCACCACCACCACCACACTCCAGCACCACCGTCACCACACTCCAGCACCACCACCACACTCCAGCACCGCCACCACTCTCCAGCACCACCACACTCCAGCACCACCACCACCACACTCCAGCACCACCACCACACTCCACCAATACCATACTCCAGCACCACCAACACCATGCTCCACCACCACCACCATCACCACACTCCAGTACCACCACCATTTATATTTTTAATATATATTTATTCCTTGATTGCGATGGAAGAGGTCCTTTAAAAAGGACCTTTCTTGTGTCATTCAAATGGCTGAGTAGTATTAATCAAATGCCCGGAGTCAAACTTGCAAAACCGAGGTTTAAGTTCAGAGCATGTATAGCAAGAATTAGTCATCTTCTTCACTTCTTCCACAGAATAAGGCAGATTTTGATATCGGACAAAATGAGCCATACGAGACACTCCAGGGTGACACAGATTGTCATGCATTTCTTTAAATTCCTCCACACTGGTGGCACCACATACGCGCGAGAATGCATCAGTGGGTATGTTGCCATGTCGTAGTGGTAACAGGAGAGTTCGAGTCGCCATCTAGCTATTTTATCATTTTTAATTTTACCAGCTGATTTAGAGTTAAACATCAGAGCAACACTGCGCTGTCACAAGCCGAAAATGGCGTTCAGTGAGATAGTGTCGCCACTTCCTTAGAGCTTCAACAATGGCATAAACTTCCTTCTCCGCCGATGAGTGCCTCGGTTCACTATTTGAAAGTGTTTGGGAGAAGAAAACTACTGGGTGTTCATTCTGGGTTATGGTAGCGGCTTTGGCATGATCTGAAACATCAGTTTCCACAGCGAAAGGAGCTGTTGGGGTCGATTGCTCGAACCACTGCCTCAGCAATGTCTCGTTTCAATCCTTCAAATGCTTTTGCAGCGGCAGCAGATAAGGAAACCCCATTATCATGAGAGAGGGGACAGAATTTTTCAGAAAACCCTGGCACCCAACGCGAGTAATGTGCAAGCATTCCCGTCGTTCTGCGTAAAGAACCTGTGTTGCTTGGCAGTGGAAGTTTTAACAGTGGCTCGAGGCGTTCCGGGTCAGGTCTAATTTCTCCTTCTTGTCTAAGGTATCCCAATAGCTTTATAGACCGGAGTCGAAAACTACACTTTTCAAGATTCAGGGTCAGGTTACACCTTCTTGCAACGTCCATAAATGTTTCAAATTTTAATCATGGTCTTCTTCAGAATCTCCACACACAAAGACATCATCTACGTAAGCAAAGGTACCCTTCACTCCTTCTTTCTCGAAGATAAAGAAGGCCGAGAAGTGCGTTCTGGCTACTAGGTACGACATATATATATATATATATATATATATATATATATATATATATATATATATATATATATATATATATATATATGTCGTACCTAATAGCCAGAACGCAATTCTCAGCCTACTATTCAATGCCCGATTTGCCTAATAAGCCAAGTTTTCATGAATTAATGTTTTTTCGTCTACCTAACCTACCTAACCTAACCTAACCTAGCTTTTTTTGGCTACCTAACCTATCCTTACCTATAAATATAGGTTAGGTTAGGTTAGGTAGGGTTGGTTAGGTTCGGTCATATATCTACGTTAATTTTAACTCCAATAAAAAAAAATTGACCTCATACATAATGAAATGGGTAGCTTTATCATTTCATAAGAAAAAAATTAGAGAAAATATATTATTTCAGGAAAACTTGGCTTATTAGGCAAATCGGGCCTTGAATAGTAGGCTGAGAAGTGAGTTCTGGCTACTAGGTACGACATATATATATATATATATATATATATATATATATATATATATATATATATATATATATATATATATATATATATATATATATATTTCTTAGGGGTACCGCCTCTGTGACAAGAAAAACCTGTTTTTTTTTGTTTAAACTGTGTTTTTCGTGTGTTTTTCATATGAGGAGAAATCTTGAAAACCTATATGAATAATTAAGCTTGATGTTTATGCGAGGGAGATTATATGTAACATAGCCGTGATCTCGCATAAGTCACACTACACAGTTCAATGCACACATGGACACATGATAAGACACGATAAGCACCTACAAAATTCTCAGGGGAATTGATAGGGGGGATAAAGGCAAACTCTTCAGCACGGGTGGAACACGAACAAGGGAACACAGGTGGAAACTTAGTACCCAAATGAGCCACAGAGACATTAGAAAGAATTTTTTCAGTGTCAGAGTAGTTAACAAGTGGAATGCACTAGGAAGTGATGTGGTGGAGGCTGACTCCATACACAGTTTCAAATATAGGTATGATAGAGCCCTGTCGGCTCAGGAATCTGTACACCAGTTGATTGACAGTTGAGAGGCGGGACCAAAGAGACAAAGCTCAATCCCCGCAAGCACAAACAGGTGAGAACACACTAGGAGGGGGGGGGGGAGATTAGGTGTGTAAAACATACAAATCCTTATAATGACGTGCGCCACATTATCTTCCCTGCTTGGCGCCTTCATGTGATGATTACTTACTTACAATGACACATAATAACAGCAAAACAGAATTAGAGATAACTTATCATAGAATCATTAGACACGCAATTAACAGCGTGTTCTCCTCTCAGGGTCGGTGGTGGAGCGTGTGGGTGAGGAGCTATGACACCCCGCCTGTCCTCTCCCCTGCTCATCCCCCAGCTCCTGCTCCTGCTCCTGCTGCCTGGCACGGTGTTGGCCGCCACAACTACGGCAGGTGAGTTGCTGCCTTCCTACACTTCCCTTCCACGGACCTCAGGCAAAAAAATTCTGCATCGTATGTATACCATGTTAAATATGATTTTTAATATTAACTTCGTGACATAGAGGTAAAAGGCATGGATGATGTGTTTACCGCAAATTTAGGTATAGTAAATAGGCTAACTCTATACAAATAAAATAAGTAAATGAAAGGATACCGGTGTGAATCCAACTTGCCTGTATTACGAAGCCTGTGGTGTTTACTGCAGTTACCGGTGTTACTTCGTCTTCCATCCACCATCATTTTCTTTCAGTGCGCGGCCAGCTCCTAACACAACTTTGGTCTGTGTGGCCAGAATTCACAAAGGAAGAGTGTGTCCGGGAGGGGGGGTCACACTCAGACCCCCAAGGGAACAGTGTGCCAGGGGGGAGGGTCACACTCAGACCCCCAAGGGAACAGTGTACCAGGGGGAGGGTCACACTCAGACCCCCAAGGGAACAGTGTACCAGGGGGGAGGTCACACTCAGACCCCCAAGGGAACAGTGTACCAGGGGGGAGGGTCACACTCAGACCCCCAAGGGAACAGTGTACCAGGGGGGAGGGTCACACTCAGACCCCCAAGGGAACAGTGTACCAGGGGGGAGGGTCACACTCAGACCCCCAAGGGAACAGTGTACCAGGGGGGAGGGTCACACTCAGACCCCCAAGGGAACAGTGTACCAGGGGGGAGGGTCACACTCAGACCCCAAGGGAACAGTGTGCCACGGGGGGGGGGGTCACACTCAGACCCCCAAGGGAACAGTGTGCCAGGGGGGCGGTCACACTCAGGCCCCCAAGGGAACAGTGTGCCAGGGGGGAGGGTCACACTCAGACCCCCAAGGGAACAGTGTGCCAGGGGGGGTCACACTCAGACTCCCAAGGGAACAGTGTGCCAGGGGGGGGGGTCACACTCAGACCCCCAAGGGAACAGTGTGCCAGGGGGGGGTCACACTCAGACCCCCAAGGGAACAGTGTACCAGGGGGGGCGATCACACTCAGACCCCCAAGGGAACAGTGTGCCAGGGGGGCGGTCACACTCAGACCCCCAAGGGAACAGTGTACCAGGGGGGAGGGTCACACTCAGACCCCCAAGGGAACAGTGTGCCAGGGGGGCGGTCACACTCAGACCCCCAAGGGAACAGTGTGCCAGGGGGGGGGGGTCACACTCAGACCCCCAAGGGAACAGTGTACCAGGGGGGAGGGTCACACTCAGACCCCCAAGGGAACAGTGTGCCAGGGGGGGGTCACACTCAGACCCCCAAGGGAACAGTGTACCAGGGGGGCGGTCACACTCAGACTCCCAAGGGAACAGTGTGCCAGGGGGGGGGTTCACACTCAGACCCCCAAGGGAACAGTGTGCCACGGGGGGGGGGGGGTCACACTCAGGCCCCCAAGGGAACAGTGTGCCAGGTGGGAGGGTCACACTCAGACCCCCAAGGGAACAGTGTGCCAGGGGGGAGGGTCACACTCAGACCCCCAAGGGAACAGTGTGCCACGGGGGGAGGGGGTCACACTCAAACCCCCAAGGGAACAGTGTACCAGGGGGGAGGGTCACACTCAGACTCCCAAGGGAACAGTGTGCCAGGAGGGGGGGTTCACACTCAGACCCCCAAGGGAACAGTGTGCCACGGGGGGGGGGGTCACACTCAAACCCCCAAGGGAACAGTGTACCAGGGGGGAGGGTCACACTCAGACTCCCAAGGGAACAGTGTGCCAGGGGGGGGGGTTCACACTCAGACCCCCAGGGAACAGTGTGCCACGGGGGGGGGGGGGGGTCACACTCAGGCCCCAAGGGAACAGTGTGCCAGGGGGGAGGGTCACACTCAGACCCCAAGGGAACAGTGTACCAGGGGGGAGGGTCACACTCAGACCCCCAAGGGAACAGTGTACCAGGGGGGGGGGGTCACACTCAGACTCCCAAGGGAACAGTGTGCCACCGGAGGGGGTCACACTCAGGCCCCCAAGGGAACAGTGTGCCACGGGGGAGGGTCACACTCAGACCCCCAAGGGAACAGTGTGCCAGGGGGGGGAGGGTCACACTCAGACCCCCAAGGGAACAGTGTGCCAGGGGGGGGGGTCACACTCAGACTCCCAAGGGAACAGTGTGCCACCGGGGGGGGGGCGGTCACACTCAGACCCCCAAGGGAACAGTGTACCAGGGGGGAGGGTCACACTCAGACCCCCAAGGGAACAGTGTGCCACGGGGGGAGGGTCACACTCAGACCTCAAGGGAACAGTATGCCAGGGGGGGGGGGTCACACTCAGACCCCCAAGGGAACAGTGTGCCAGGGGGGGGTCACATTCAGACCCCCACCACCATTTTCTGCCAATTCCAACCAGCTACACAACTAAGTATTTTCAAAACAAACTTTTGAAAATAAATAGTTTCTTACAGTAATGTACAATGACCTCGGGAAGACTGACATAAATTTAATAATTTGCTTGAACACGCATGAAACAGATAATTCTTCCACAGCGACAAAGATTTCTCCAATCTCGGCCCTGTACCTGAGTACCAGGGGCCAGATTCACGAAAGCACTTACGCACGTGTACATCTTTCTTCAATCTTTGACGGCTTTGGTAACATTTATTAAACAGTTTACAAGCATGAAAACTTCCCATTCAACTGTTGTTATTGTTATAAACAGCCTCCTGGTGCTTCGGAGCTCATTAACTGTTTAATAATTGTAAACAAAGCCGACAAAGATTGAGAAAAGATGTACACGTTCGTAAGTGCTTTCGTGAATCTGGCCCCGGGTCACTAGTATTTTGTTTAGTATTATCACTAAGCTGCTCTCACCGGCAGCCAACCCACAAGTTAGACATAATAGAGAGAATCTCTGAGACCGAGACAAAGACAGAGACAGACAGACAGTAGATGGATGGATGGACAAGTGGCTATTGATTGAGAGATTGCTGAATAGATGAAAGGATAGATGGATAGAGGTATCGACAGACAGGTTTGTTGATAGATGGAAGAACAGATAGATGGACGGATAGATAGATGGACGGATAGATAGATTTAAGAATAGATGGATAAATATATAGATAAAAAGACGAATAGATGGATGAATACATTGATCGATGGATAAATGGATAGGTTGATGAATAGATTGATATACAGATTGGTAAGTGGATGTAAAAATTGCTGGATAGATGGATGGATAGGAAAATGAGTAGGTGGATGGATAAACTGATAGATAGATAAATAAATGAATTGATAGATGGATAAACTGATAGATGGAAAGAGAGATGGATGGATAAATGAATAGATAGATGTATAGGTAGATGGACAAATGGATGGTTAGATGGATAAACAGATGGATAGATAATTGCATGGTGCAGCCCATCCACCAGTAGTGGTAGTACTTATAGTAACGATGAGGACAATAGTACATATACCGACATACAACGAAATTAGAAAGTAGAAATCTGAACTCTTGAGTTGGACAAACCGGAAAGTAATCAGTTTCGGCCGTGACCTTGAGGGTCAGAAGTTAACACAGACGAGGGTGAACAGAAGTATTAGGAAAGAACTACCGGGAACGAATGTAAACATTGGTGACAATAACACAGGTGACGTAAAGGGTTTAAATACCCCGGAAGAGGGGCGAGGCTTAATAGAAACCCTCAGAAAGGTGACGCCAGTTCGGATCCCTCCCTGGAAGGTGGGTGGGAGGGCAAGACGAGGGTATGTTCTCTGTGGCATTCTGTTGGTTGTCTGTGTCTGTCTCTTTAACTAACTATGGACTCCAGGCTTGGGCTGCATACTCCAGGATTGGTCTGACATAAGTGTTATACAAGGTTTTGAATGATTCCTACACAAGTTTCTAAAGGCAGTTCTTATGTTGGCCAATCTAGCCTATGCTGCTGATGATATCCCTTTGATGTGGGGTTCTGTGGACAGGTTCGGTGTGATATCAACCCCCAGATCTTTCTCTCTATTTGACTCTTGCAGGATATCACCACCCAGATGGTTCTTTGTGTTCAGCCTTCTGCTCCCTTCACCTAATTACATTATTTTACACTTTCCTGAGTTGAATTTTTGTAGCCCTTTTCTAGACAATTTCTCCAGCTTGTCCTAATGTCTTTGTGGCACTCTATTTGTTTCCCCCTGGGCCTGTCTTTGTGGCACTATGTTTGTTTCCCTGGGCCTGTCTTTGTGGCACTCTATTTGTTTCCCCCTGGGTCTGTCTTTGTGGCACTATGTTTGTTTCCCTGGGCCTGTCTATGTGGCACTAACATACAAAAACTACAAACAGTGCAAAATAAGGCACCAAGGCGAGCAGCAAAACACCGTCCATCATATGATTAGACAATCCAGGAGCTCCATGAACTCCAGAACATACAATCAAAAAACATGAAACTACAGCACCAAGCTATCAGGGTGTGGAACACCATTGAAATGTTAGAAGACCCAATGTTAGAGAGATTACTGCAAGAGGAGACGCCCCGCACACACAGCTGGTGGCCCAAGATGAGACGCCCCACTCCCACAGCTGGTGGACTAAGAGGAGACGCCCCACTCCCACAGCTGGTGGACTAAGAGGAGACGCCCCACTCCCACAGCTGGTGGCCAAAGATGAGACGTCCCGCTCACGGCTGGTGGCCCAAGACGATACGCCCCGCTCCCACAGCTGGAGGCCCATGATGAGACGCCCCGCTCCCACAGCTGGTGGCCCAAGATGAGACGCCCCGCTCCCACAGCTGGTGGCCCAAGATGAGACGCCCCACTCCCACAGCTGGTGGCCCAAGATGAGACCCCCCACTCTCACAGCTGGTGGCCCAAGATGAGACGCCCCGCTCCCACAGCTGGTGGCCCAAGATGAGACGCCCCACTCCCACAGCCGGTGGCTCAAGATGAGACGCCCCACTCCCACAGCTGGTGGCCCAAGATGAGACGCCCCGCTCCCACAGCTGGTGGCCCAAAATGAGACGCCCCGCTCCCACAGCTGGTGGCCCAAGATGAGACGCC